TTGCTGTTATACAAAGCCCAATTTCTAGGGAAACATGAGTTGCATAGGGAGCACAGCTGTGTGCCATTCTGTAGGGAATGAACCTCCTGTCTGACATGTCTGACCTTTATTAAGGAAGAGAGCTGGCTTGTACATGTTACCTGAAGGCAAAACCAAAGCTGAACAGTGAATTTTGCTGTACTCTGCTAGAGCAGAAATGCATGCAGACCTCACAAGCGTCAAGTTTATTTTACACAGAATAAATGTAATATATTACACAGAAGGAAGACAATATATACATCACTTCTTAGGCATGCTCCTGCTCCCAGGGTGTGTTCTCACCCTCAGAAGGAAAGGGGCAGTCTTTTAGCACACCTGCATCATCATGGAGGTCACCATATTATCAAAAGCTCTGAAGAAAGGAAAAAACAATGTTAAAGGAAGTTAAAATGCAGCACACCAGATCTTCATGGCAATACCAAAAATGCCTATAACTGGCAAACAAGCTGCTTTTCCCAGGGCTGAATAGGTGGCTTCACTCTGTAACATATTCCCTAAGTAAACAATGACTTTTCTTTTAAGCTGAAAGAAGTACAGGTTTTAGCCTGGCCTCAGTGAAGTGTAAAAGAAGCTGTTCTTGCCTGGCAAGACATTACAAAAACTTGCTATGGAATTCCAGATGAGAAAGGGGGGTGTAGCTGTTCTCAAACATCAAGATTTATGCATGTTTGTGGGCCATTCAGTCCTTCCTTAAGGACAGGAAGAACCGCTGCTGCTTACCATTACTTGATCTATTTAACTATGTTGCAGTAAAATGGGTAACTGGTTTTGTCTCTATTAGCTTGAGTCAATGTTTCCAAATCCAGTTCTGAGATGAGTGAGAGTTTTCAGTGTGGCTCTTAATCAGAACAGCAGTTTTCTATTATGCAGCAATGGGCCAAAGAGAACATAGCTTTTAAGAAGGTCCAGCACCACCCCCAGCTGCACTGGTCAGCCACAGGGGTTACATTCTTAGTTCTGTTACAATGCAAGTGCTCTGCAAGTCCCCAAAAGATAACAAAACTCAGAAAGAATGTATGGTCTGCCTACTTACTTGGAATGGATACGGTCCCCAGGGTTGTAAAATGGGTTGCACATGATGTCTGTATATGAATTATGCAGCTTTCGGAACATCTGAAAAGGGATTGTGGTTTAATTACTTTTTGTTGTGGGTTCTCGGCATTTTGTGAATAAGTGGAAGTAGCAAAAGTCCTGATGTGACTAGTTGCATTCTGATTTCCTGCACTTACGCTGCGGATCTCATTGTCTCGGAGTGCTGTGTTTGAAGAATCCACCACCATAACAAACTTCACCTTGGAATTTGTCACGTAGCCATATCTGCACAGCTGTTAAGGAATTTGCTTCTGACACGCAGAGACCTAGAAAGCAACTCAAACAAGCCTGGAATATGGTCAAAGAAACTGAGAGGAAGGCCATGTTCATACCGTACCCAGCACATAACTAGGAATACAGGAAGTAAGCAAGATGTTAAACTGCAAAAACAACACTCTGCTTTTTACCTTAATTCTGTTACCTTTGCTATCTCACAAAGGTCACAGCTGGGATTAACTCAGGCCTAATTTAAAGGAAAAAGAATTAAGTTTGCTGTCATACTGGCTGGTAATACACACTTTGTAATCTCAGAAGCAGCCTTTCACTAGCTCTTTTGGTAATAGTTTATCTGCTCATAAGAACTTTTTCAGTGACCCTTCTTGCTGGTCATTCTTATCTGGGTGACCACTGAGGCACAGACCATCAAATACCAGCCAGTGTGACCTGAAACTTCAGAAATTAACAGCCAATCTATGAAAATGCAGAGCATCAGGTCTGTTAAAGCAGACCTCTTCCACCTGTGGGATGCAACATGCTAAAAGGGGAGTCCTTGTCTATGTAAAAGCCCAGTCCTCCAATTCCTTAGTTTAAAACTGCACCGGAGGTTGCAGAGAAGGAAGAAGGCAAGACTAGAAGGGGAACACGCCACCCGGGCACTGGAGGGATGCACTTTGTAGTCCTCTGTTGGGTAGAGGAGCCCCAGGTACAGATCCCTCTGATCTACCATGGCCTTGCCCATGGCCGAGATCTTCTCGTCCACGACGTCGAGGGAGGTGTGCACGGTGTAGTGGAACTTCAGCTCGTTTTCCGTCGGGACACTTCGGATGTACAAGGGATAGTTCTGCGGAGGAGCACAGCTCTGTTCCCCTCGCCCTGCTCCAGCGCCGCAGTGTCAACCATGGCCCTGCTGTCCCGCTCTGGTCCCACAGCCTTAGTCCTGGCCCTGCTGTCCCAGTGAGGCCCCACAAGCTAAAGTGACCCCACAGCCTCAACCCCAGCCCCACACCCTCAATCACGGCCCCACTGCTCTGCTCGGGCCCCATAACCTTGGCTCCAGCCCGCTGCCCCACTCAGGCCCCACAGCCTCAGCTCTGGCCCCACTGCCCTGCTTCAGCCCCACAGCCTCAGCTGTGGCCCTGCTGCCCCACTCAGGCCCCGCACCCTCAACCCTGCCCCACTTGTGCCCCACAGCCTCCGCCTCCGAGCCCACTTCCCCAACACCTGCACGGGCCCCACAACCTTGTCCCCAGTGCCCCACTGGGGCCCCACAGCCCCAGGCCCAACCCCACCATCCCACTCGGGTCCCACAGCCTCAGCCCTGGCCCCACTG